GGAGGATGTAGAGGCGCTTGGGGCCGTTCCTGGGTCTGGCACCTCGGTTTCTGCTGCTAGCTTTCGGTATCGATGTTCCTTCTGCGCCGTTTCGCAGGCTGTCTCGTGCGTTGTTTCACCTCCGGCCTGCTTATGCACTGCCTGTGCCGTCCTGGTCGTTGGACAGGGTGCTCTCCTGTTTTTCTTCTCCTTGGTGGTTGTGGCTCCTTGGGTTCAGGTTTGCTTTACCTCGGCTCTCTTTTTATGTTGGCATTGGCCTCTGGGGGTCGTGTGGCAGAGCTTCTTGCTCTTCTCAGGCGCAGTGGTTTTTGGCTCCTATGGTCGTGGTCATAGGTTTCTTCATCTGCGGCCGTTCTCCCTTTTTCTGGCGAATGATGTGCCTGCTGCTTTCCGGAGGGGTCCTTGGGTTGTTGTCTCGACTTCGTGTTGAGGAGTGGCTCACCGACCACCTCCCGGGTATGTCCCCTTGTTTTCTTAGGTAGTCTTTGGTGAAGTAGCTCCGGGGAGCCGTAGGGGCTCCCCCCAGAAAACCAGCGTTGAATGTAATGAAACGTCATTTTCTGTGTGAGTCCCGGAGATTCCACGGCACCCTCCCGCCCTCCGGTCGGCGTTTTTTTTTTTTTTTTTTTTTGCGGTTTTGATATCCAGCCTGAGAACTGGGGCGGGGATCGCTGGCGCGGGGGTCTGGGGCTCCCCCTTCCCCCTCCCGGGGAGGGGGAAGCTGTGCAGACATGCGGTGCAGCTCGTGTGACATCATGCTTGTTGGTTCGTTTTCCCGGGGGAGTTCTGTCCACTTGTTTGTCGATTTTTGTTGTTAACCAGAATAGGGGTTTGTTTTGTGGCGCTTACCTTTCTGGGTGCCTGTCCCGGTCGATGGCAGATATAGAATGCTCCAAATCACATGTACATTTCTATGGGCCATTGCTCCCCGTGCCTCTGTGAGAGGGCCAGGTTCTGGCTCGTGGTCCCCAGTAAGCTAGAACTCAACCCACATCGACTGTTGCATAATAGTTAGGGTATCCATATCAGCCATGGATAGCTCCGGGGAGCCTCCGGGACTCACCCAGAAAATGGCGTTTCATTACATTCAACGCTGGTTTTCTGCACTTTATACTGTTTGAAAACCCTTGGATTTTCAGAATGATACAGTAGCAAGGGTTTAATTTTCAAATCGCCACTCGCATTTGAACACAGCTCAAGCGTAAACCTATCTTTCATAGGCTTGTATCCGAGCAAAGATTTTTTTCTCCTTGGTAATGTATGTCCTCTCAGGCAATCTTTTACAGAACAGTCCGGTTTCATCATAATTAAACACTTGTTGCGGTAGGTATCCCTCAGCCTCTGCAAACTCTTTAAATTCTTCAATAAATTGTTCATCGGCTGGTTTGTCTGAGCTGGCTGCCTCCCCATGCCTCGCAACACTATGGATATCACTTCTTTTTCTAAATTTTTCAAACCAGCCCCCTGCTTGCCTTAAACTCTTTCGTATCTGCATCACTCATTCCAGGGATTTTCTTTACAAGCTCTTCATGCAATACCCTGGCTTTCTCACAAATGATGGCCTCCGAAACACTATCACCCTTTAACTCCTTGTCGTGTATCCAAATTAATAACAACTTTTCCACTTCTTCAAGTATTTGTGGTCTTTGTTTCGTGTTTGTTCTTATGCCTTTTGCCACTTTAGCACTCATAATGTCCTTTTTCTTGCTAAGTATAGTGCATATCATTGACGTGGCTGTGTTGTACTGCCTACAAAGTTCAACAACACGTGTACCATTTTCATGCTTCCGAATGACCTCTTGTTTTTCCTCTATTGTCATCCTCACTTGAGCTTTCTTGCCTTGATCCTTACCACTGGCTTTCTTGGGACCATGGTGAGATATATAATAACAACCTTTATGGTCAAATGACCAAAAAGCCAACAAAACAATGAAAATCCGGGTGAAGAATTGATGTGGCATAGTCACTGGGCGCGAGGCACTGGTAAACGGAGGGGTGAGGGGCGACGATCGCCGTACCACCACGAGCTAGGTCGGCCTGTACGCGTATCAACAAACTCATGTTCCAAGGTAACCCTTGCCTTCCGATAAAAACCCTCGCCTTCCGAGGCACATTTTCCGAGCAAATCTTGCTCGTATTCCGAAAAACTCGTATTCAGGGACACTCGAGAGGCAGAAAGAAATTTTGAAAAAGGGATTGCGGACAAATGTAAAACAGAACCAGGTCTATTCTATAAATTCATAAACAACAAATTGCAGGTAAAGGATAATATTCAGAGGTTGAAAATGGGAAATAGATTCACGGAAGATGAAAAGGAAATGTGTGAAACACTAAACGAAAAGTTCCAAAGTGTGTTTGTACAAAATGAAATCTTTAGGGAACCAGATACAATAAGAATTCCACAGAACAACATAGAACACATAGAGGTGTCTAGAGACGAAGTGGAAAAAATGCTCAAGGAGCTCGGTAAGAACAAAGCAGCTGGCCCAGATGGCGTTTCACCATGGGTTCTGAGAGAATGTGCATCTGAGCTCAGCATTCCACTTCACCTGATATTTCAGGCATCCCTGTGTACAGGAATTGTAGCAGACGGGTGGAAACAGGCTAACATAGTTCCAATCTACAAAAGTGGCAGCAGGGAAGACCCCCTCAATTATAGACCTGTATCATTGACAAGTGTAATAGTGAAAGTATTGGAAAAACTAATCAAAACTAAATGGGTAGAACACCTAGAGAGAAATGATATAATATCAGACAGACAGTATAGTTTTCGATCTGGAAGATCCTGTGTATCGAATTTACTCAGTTTCTATGATCGAGCCACAGAGATATTACAGGAAAGAGATGGTTGGGTTGACTGCATCTATCTGGACCTAAAAAAGGCTTTCGACAGAGTTCCACATAAGAGGTTGTTCTGGAAACTGGAAAATATTGGAGGGGTGACAGGTAAGCTTCTATCATGGATGAAAAATTTTCTGACTGATAGAAAAATGAGGGCAGTAATCAGAGGCAATGTATCAGAATGGAGAAATGTCACAAGTGGAGTACCACAGGGTTCAGTTCTTGCACCAGTGATGTTTATTGTGTACATAAATGATCTACCAGTTGGTATACAGAATTATATGAACATGTTTGCTGATGATGCTAAGATAATAGGAAGGATAAGAAATTTAGATGACTGTCATGCCCTTCAAAAAGACCTGGACAAAATAAGTATATGGAGCACCACTTGGCAAATGGAATTTAATGTTAATAAATGACATGTTATGGAATGTGGAATAGGAGAACATAGACCCCACACAACCTATATATTATGTGAGAAATCTTTAAAGAATTCTGATAAAGAAAGAGATCTAGGAGTGGTTCTAGATAGAAAACTATCACCTGAGGACCACATAAAGAATATTGTGCAAGGAGCCTATGCTATGCTTTCTAACTTCAGAATTGCATTTAAATACATGGATGGCGATATACTAAAGAAATTGTTCATGACTTTTGTTAGGCCAAAGCTAGAATATGCAGCTGTTGTGTGGTGCCCATATCTTAAGAAGCACATCAACAAACTGGAAAAGGTGCAAAGACATGCTACTAAGTGGCTCCCAGAACTGAAGGGCAAGAGCTACGAGGAGAGGTTAGAAGCATTAAATATGCCAAAACTAGAAGACAGAAGAAAAAGAGGTGATATGATCACTACATACAAAATAGTAACAGGAATTGATAAAATCGACAGGGAAGACTTCCTGAGACCTGGAATTTCAAGAACAAGAGGTCATAGATTTAAACTAGCTAAACACAGATGCCGAAGAAATATAAGAAAATTCACCTTCGCAAATAGAGTGGTAGACGGTTGGAACAAGTTAAGTGAGAAGGTGGTGGAGGCCAAGACCGTCAGTAGTTTCAAAGCGTTATATGACAAAGAGTGCTGGGAAGACGGGACACCACGAGTGTAGCTCTCATCCTGTAACTACACTTAGGTAATTACACTTAGGTAATTACTCGCATTCCGAGGTACCATTGAGGGGTACCTCGGTTTAAGAGTTTAATCTGTTCCTGGAAACAGCTCGTATTCCGAAAACTCGTAATCCGAAGCTAATTTCCCCATAAGAAATATTTGGAAATGAATTAATCCATTCCTGACTACCCCGAAACCTCACTTCAAACTAAATTATATACTTAATTCATCTAAATAAACCTACAAAACTATGTTCAAGTTATTACTTACCCTTGCTGATGACTGCTGTTAGCGTATGGAAAATGGTGAGGAGGAGGGAGGAGAGGTGGTGTTACTGTTTGAAGGGGAGTCCCCTTCCATTATAGTATCAGGCAGTGAGGACTTCTCTGGTGTGCACACTCTGGCATGTTTTGCCTGCATACCACTAAGACTTGCTTGTCTTACTAAGAATCTGTCTAGAGACACTGGTTTTTCCCTACATTTTACACTTGTCTGTAGTAAGACATCACATTATCATTTAAAAGGTCAATGCTACGGCCTGCTACAGCTTATCTGGGTGAGTTTGTTCAACAAAACTTTGCAGTTCTTCCCATACTTCACACATTTTCTTAATGAAGAAGGGACATCCTCTACTGCCTCTACTCACAACTATTTTCTTAGGTTGAACTTTTTCAATGGCTTTTTTGGGACCCATGGCGAGATATGTAATAACAACTTTTATGCTCAAATGGCCACAAAACCGACAAAAAACTGTAAATCCTTGTGAAAAATTCAGGCGGGATAGTCACTGGGCGTGAGACACTGGTAAAATGAGGCGCGATCGCCGTGCCACCACGCGCTAGTCGACCTGTACGCATATCAACACCCTCGTCTTCTGAGGCAACCCTCACCTTTCGAGGCAAATTTTCCGAGTAAATCCTGCTCGTATTCCGAAAAACTCGTATACAGGGACACTCGTATTCCAAGGTATCATTGTATTATATATATATATATATATATATTGATTTATTTTGGTTGTAAAATTTTAATTAAATTTGTTCTTCAACAGTACCTGTACCACCTCATACCAAGAAACAGAAGCTTCAAACAGCTGGGGGAGGAGGAATAGGCATCAGCAGGCGAAACAGTGGGCTATCGGAGACCTCCTCAGAAATTGACAGTGCTCTTGATAGTCCGGATTTGAGTGAAGCTGCATCTGAAAATCTAGTTAGTAACAAGGTTAATATATTCACTGGTGTTTATGTAGGTAGTACGAGAAGATTTTGCATGGACCGCCCGTTATTGTTACAAGATTTATGACATTTTGTTTTATAAATATGTAAGCCATTTAAGTGTTTTCCTCCCCACTTTTATTATGCTATGTTTTGTAGATAATTTTTGTTTTATTTAACTATGTTAATTGTTAATTGATATCCATTCTTTTACCTATTTCTTCAGCTTTTCAGAGTAAGTGTAGGTAATTACTTAAGTGTAAATTACCTATTGTAGTTACAGGATGAGAGCTACGCTCGTGGTGTCCCGTCTCCCAGCACTCTTTGTCATATAACGCTTTGAAATTACTGACGGTCTTGGCCTCCACCACCTTCTCTCCTAACTTGTTCCAACCGTCTACCACTCTGTTTACAAAAGTGAATTTTCGTATATTTCTCTGGCAGCTTTGTTTCGTTAGTTTAAATTTATGACCTCTTGTTTTTGAAGTTCCAGGTCTCAGGAATTCTTCCCTATCAATTTTATCGATTCCTGTTACTATTTTGTACGTAGTGATCATGTTGCCTTTTTCTTCCATCTTCTAGTTTTTGCATATTTAATGCCTTTAACCTTTCCTCGTAGCTCTTGTCCTTCAGTTCTGGGAGGCACTTAGTGGCATATCGTTGCACCTTTTCCAGTTTGTTGATGTGCTTCTCAAGATATGGGCACCACACATCCGCTGCATATTCCAGCTTTGGTCTAACAAAAGTTGTGAACAATTTCTTTAGTATTTCTCCATCCATATATTTAAGAGCAATTGTGAAGTTAGAAAGTGTAGCATAGGCTCCTCGCACAATGTTCTTAATGTGGTTCTCAGGTGACAGTTTTCTATCTAGAACTACCCCTAGATCCCTTTCTTTGTCAGAATTCTTTAAAGATTTCTCACATAATTTATAGGTTGTGTGGGGTATATGTTCTCCTATTCCATATTCTATAACATGGCATTTATTCACATTAAATTCCATTTGCCAAGTGGTGCTCCATCTACTTATTTTGTCCAGGTCTTCTTGAAGGGCATGACAATCATCTAAGTTTCTTATCTTTCCTATTATCTTAGCATCATCAGCAAACATGTTCATATAATTCTGTATAGATTAGTGTAGAGTGATGTGTGTTGCTAGGTTTGTTGATGGTATTTACATGCATCTGTATTAACCCTTAAGTGGCTAAGGGGTTCTGAGCAGATTTACACCCCTGTACGCAAGAAAAAAAATTCTACAAAATTATTTCGTCTTCTTAAAATGTTAATTTGTGTTCCTTGAGCACGGGGAAAAAAGAATCGTAGGTGATATATTTTGGGCGCAATAGGTTGAGGAAGCCTGGCAAAATGTGGGCGTTGACAGAGCGGTCGTCAGAGCCAGTCAGCGTGACCTGAGCTGACAGGTGGGAGTTGCCACAAAGATATTATTACCTAATTATTTCAATGTCTCTGATTTTTTCTTATTTTTTTTGCAGTAATATTATTCAATAGTGTGTAGTGTGATATATTTATATAATAAAAGGGATGAATCATCGCTACACTCAAAAGTATAGTGTGCATATTAGTGATTCAATTATTATGTTCATAAAACAATAAACAAATAGTTTTGTTGTTATTACACTCTATACACAGGTTATATATAAGTATCTGCATGTTTTGTTCACCACAACGAACCACTAAGTTGGTATTGAGAGTCGAAAAGCAACGAAGAGTGACCGCCACACACCAGCCAGCCACTCGTTGCCACTCCCTCAACAATGCCTCACTCACCCACTTTCTCCTCTCACTATCCTGTTTTATATTTTATTCACAATATCCAGACGTTATATATTAGTATCTACATGTTTTGTTCACCACAACTGTACAACTAAGCTGATATAGTTAGTTCAGGCACTAAGAGACATCGCTACACACAGTCAGCTGGCGGCTCCCTCACTCATTGAAGTTCACATGCACTAAAATTTCCCCCACAACAATACTGTTTGCAGTGTTATTACACTATATACAGACGTTATATATAAGTATGTATATGTTTTGTTCACCACAATTGTACAACTAAGCTGATATAGTTAGTTCAGGCACTAAGAGTCGTCGCTACACAGTCAGCTGGCGGCTCCCTCATACAAGGTCACACACAGAACTTTCTCCCCCAACAATACTGTTTGCAGTGTTATTACACTATATACACACATTATATATAAGTATCTACATGTTGTATACACTGTAACTGTACACCTAAGCTTGTAGGGTGCCCAAAGAACATAGTGGCCACCCTCTACACAGCCAGACAAATCATGCAGACGACGTCACCTCCGTCACCCAAATAGCTCCTCCCAGTATAATCCTTTTGCTGTTATTACACTAATACACACATTTTATATAAGTATCTACATTTGTGTTCACCATAGAGAACCACTGAGCTGGTATGGTGGATGCAGACAATAACAGGTGGCCACACAGTCAGTAAACGATGCTATCTCCCTCCGTCCTTAAGCATTACTCCTCCCACAGCGCTAATTATCACAACAATCCTGCTATTATCACAACCCTGGTTATTTATGTCACAGTCATGGGTCACCTGTAATATTGTCATCGCTAAATAATAGCAATTATATATTTATTTTGACATTTTTTGGCAATGCTATGGTCACAAGATGAACAGCAATGCTGTTTGCTCATGCTGCGTACGCCAGCCTTGGTTGCTTCCACAGTACTGTGGGTCTCACACCGGAGAATGTTGCCCACGATTTAAAAAAAAAAAATGGTGTCTGTTTTCAAGAGCCCTGAGAAAGCTAATGTGAACCCCGTATAGGCATGGGCCATTTGAATCGTGCCTGGCACCCTATGGCGTATATATACCCCATGCGCACCGTGGGACATGTTACTCATGGCGTATATATACACCATGTGCAGTTTAAGGGTTAAACTGTAGAATATTCTTAATACCAAGAGAAGGTAAGATCTTTTAAAATTAGTTTTTATTCATTACAAAAAAATTAATAACTGGGAATGGCATAGGCCAAAATTATGATTGAGAATTGAATATGAGAAGAAAGAGAGAACATTACATTTGTGTTCCTTGAATGGTGGTTGTGGCAATAATCCCAATGCATGAAATGCACCGAGAAAATGTATTATAGGTATGCGTCGGTATTGTTCATTCATGGCTGGGCTGGGTGAGAACACTTGCTTAAATAATGAATGCATCAACACTTTGTCGTTGGTTACTGGGTAGAAAGAAATTGATTGATTGATATCATAGTGAATGTCTTTAGGAGATTAGTGTTTTGTTGCTGACAGAATTTAGAGAGGTGGTCCGGTTGGGTGCACGTAAATGTCAGTAGCTACACACACGGAGTATTAGTTTGCTCCTTATTATATGAAATTGACAACTGTACTGTTAACATTAATGTAATATGTTTGTACTATATTTATTTTTCAAATTTAAGCACTTATAATTTGAAATATAAATCACAAAAATATGTGAAATTCTTGTGAATGACAATTGAATAATATGCTGTACAGGGTACTGTACGTAAGAAGAATTTATTTAAATAATTGTTCCACGTCAAGTTCTTTTACTGTACAATGTACTCGCCTAGTTGAGCATCATTTCATTAGTCCCGTCTCTCAACTGTCAATTAACTGGTAACTACCTAAGTGTAGTTACAGTATGAGAGCTACACTCGTGGTGTACTTACCTAATTGTATTCACCTAATTGTGCTTACGGGGTTGAGCTCTGGCTCTTTGGTCCCGCCTCTCAACTGTCAATCAACTGATGTACAGATTCCTGAGCCTACTGGGCTCTATCATATCTACATTTGAAACTGTGTATGGAGTCAAACTCCACCACATCACTGCCTAATGCATTCCATCTGTTAACTACTCTGACACTGAAAAAGTTCTTTCTAATGTCCCTGTGGGTCATTTGGGTACTCAGTTTCCACCTGTGTCCCCTTGTTCGCATACTACCCGTGTTAAACAGTTTTTCTTTATAATACCCTGTCAATTCCTCTGAGAATTTTATAGGTAGTGATCATGTCTCCCCTTACTCTTCTGTCTTCTTGCGTCGTGAGGTGCATTTCTCGCAGCCTTTCTTCGTAACTCATGCCTCTTAGTTCTGGGGCTAGCCTAGTGGCATATCTCTGAACTTTTTCCAGCTTCATCTTGTGCTTGACAAGGTACGGGCTCCATGCTGGGGCTGCATACTCCAGGATTGGTCTTATATATGTGGTATACAAGGTTCTGAATGATTCCTTACACAGTTTCCTGAAGGCAGTTCTGATGTTAGCCAGGAGCCAGTGGCCCGTCTTCTCAGTACTCTTTGTCGTACAATGCTTTGAAACTGCTGACGGTTATGGCTTCCACCACCTTCTCACTTGGCTTGTTCCAACCGTATACTGTTGTTTGCAAAAGAAAACTGCTAATATTTTTTCAGCATATTTGTTTCCTTAAATCTATGTCCTCTTGTTCATGGAGTTGATGATTTCAGGAATTCCTCTTTGTCAATTTGATCTATTCATATTAGTGTTTTGTAAGTGGTGATCATATCTCCTCTTTTTCTTCTATCTACTAGTTTAGGCATGTGTAAAACCTCCGGTCTCTCCTCATAACTCTTGTTTTTCCGTTTCGGAAGCCATTTTGTAGCATGCCGCTGCACGTTTTCCATTTTATTTATGTGCTGCTTGAGATTTGGGCACGATACAACTACTGCATATTCCAATTTTGGTCTCACAAAAGTCATGAACAGTTTCTTTAGTATTTCATCATCCATATAATTAAAAGCAAGTCTGAAGTTGGAAAGCGATGCATACGCTCCTCTCACAATGTTCTTTACGTGTTCCTTTGGAGACAGCTTACTATCCCCCCCCCCCCCCTTAGGTCTCGTTCTTTATTAGAGTTCTGTAATTCCTTTCCACATAATTTGTAAGTTGTGTGTGGTCTATTTTCTCTGATTTCTCATCCCATAACATGGTATATATTCACACT